TCTTCTTTTCAAACTCATTGCCCGTCATTACTGTTCGATTAGGTGACATAGCTAATTCTTTCTGACATGTGTCTGGCTCTTCACCAGGTTGACGTCCATGTTGAGGGCAGGATGTGTTGAAATATGACGTGGAATATGGCACTTGTGTGGGCTGGTGGGGGGCAGCAGGTGTTGGGCAGGTTGTTCGCCTGCCTGAGCCTCTCCTTCACTCCTCATTAGTAACCTCGTAGACACCTGGCTGTCCAACCCAGAGCGTAAAAGCAACTTGGCCCCTCTAATATTGGGATTCAGTCTTTGTCAAGGCTCACATTCTTCATTCATTCGTCAGCTTTTTTCCCTGACACATAGGGACCACACAGCTGCGTGTAACACGTTAGATGTTTGTGAACAGATAATGGCAGCTAATTAGCAGAGTTACATCAAACCACAGTCAGTTTCCTTGGGAGTGTTAGTTTTTCAAGCTTGTAAGAAGAAACCACACGAAGTGGACTGTAGTGGGGGGAGCTGAGGCTTGATGTTTTTCTGTCTTGGCAAAGCAATGTGGGTGTTTTTTAGAGCTCTGGGGTAAAGGTCTGTGTTAGGACATGTTGTATGGGTATGGTTGGACTAATGGTTCTGATAAATGGTTTGAAACAGTGAGAAACAGCTAGCCTGGCTCTGTCCAAAGGAAAACAATTTAATGCTCAATGTTCAAGACTGGTATCAATCTTCTTATCTAACTCTCGTCGACAAAGTAATAATGCAAAACTTACAAAAATAACAATTACTCCCTTTCTGGGATTTAATTGAAGATTTTACAAACCATTTCTGTCTAAAAGAGGTATTTCTTCTTCTCTTCAAGTCGGGTTTTTAAACAAACCCTATGTAAACTATGTATTTCTGTTGTTTGTGATCATGGTTACTTACTGGGTCCTGTTTGTTTTTGTTGTTTTATTCCTCCACATGTGGCTCATGCTTTTCTGGGACTATATCACCACAGTCAAACTGTCTGAACTCAACATCCCAATATATCAGCCAATCACATTGGCACTCCTGTTCAGCCAGTTTGGAAACATAATTTACAAAATTGATTCAGTCAGCACAGGATCAATAGGAGTCCTCTTACATTTCTGAGACAGAGCCTGCCCTGCCAGGAACCACACAATGGGCAATTCTATGGACAAATTCACATACATTTTTCATATGTATATATTACTGGCCTTCTCTGAATGAGTCTCACGCAATGGACATCATTTTTGTGCAAACAACAAAGCTGGTGAGGGCAGAGCTTGGCTGCAACAGCTGTAAATTGACTCAGTTGGAAGCTCATATTCATTAAATATCTACAATTAAAGCAGTTTTACCCAGGAGCAGGAATATCATAACAGCAACTCTTTTGAGATGGAGGAATTTAAGTGTGTCAAATAAGCAAAAGTAGCAAAGTCTACTGATGAAATAGGCCATTACTGATCGTTTGCACTAAAACATCTAAAATTGTACTTAAAAATGATTTCAATTCTTTGGGTCACGATTCGATATCGATTCAAATCAATATTGATCAATATGCTTTGATGTCATTAATGATACATGCAGATGACAAGATTACCCTTATAACTCATCACAGTACCTTCTGATATTTGTTTAATAATTGTGTGTGCATTGTTTTTATAGGTTTAGAAAAAAACAGACTCAAAAATGTATTTTATCGTTGCATTATTGTTGTCAACAAATAATAAAACATTCAAGTATAGTATGATCTAAAGTGCACATTTGTGCCTAAGCTGAATTTGTAGCAAAATCGTAATTAACATAACAGTGCTATAATGGCATGGACAAAAACTATGTGCAAAGTGCACAATTGCTGTTGATGATGACAGTTAATCAGTTAATTCCATGAAAGATTAATTGAAGTTAACATTGACTTAATCAAAAAACAACAAAATGTTCAGCATTCTGCAGTGTCAACAGAGTCGAGTTCTTCAGAGGCAATGATGAAAACTCAAAATTACATATCTGTATTGAAAATCTACGTATAAGATCAACTTTCTGGATACATCTGTCTGCAGTCTAGCGGTGCTACAAGTGACTTTATGGAAGTCAGGCAGCACTTCACAATAAAGGCACCGAGGCAGAGATTGGAATTTGGCTCACTATTCAATAAGATCTCTGATGTTTGACTTTAACGGAAACTAAATGTATCTTACTTAAAGGTTACAATTTAAATTGCATGTTGAGAATTAATTACAAGGATTAGCGCTGATAATTAGTGATTAATCTCTTTACAAGAAATAAAAATGCTACAGAATTTAAAGCAGTTCAAACCTCCTGATCAGCTGTTTACAAACGGAGCATTCAAGAAAGCAAGTCCTTGACATCTTTGGTCGAATGGCTCCAGATGAAAACAACAAGTTGGGTTGACCCGACAATAGTGTTCACTGGTACAGACGGCCAAGAGAAGGTTGAAGCCACGTCCAGTGATCAGGGCCAGCTCTAGACATAAGTGATTGGCGGTCCCATGGGGAAGGGGTTCCCAAACTTTTTAGCTTGCGCCCCCGAAACCAATGGTGCCAGAGGGTTGGGGACCCCACTGTCCCTGGAGGTGGTTAATGCATATTATGTAGCACGGCCACACCCACGCTTACAACATACACTTACACATTTTGACTGGAAAAACAAACACCACCACTTAAACAGAGAAATCCTCTCAGGACCCAAGAAAGAGGGATTTGAATTACATGGGGAATGTTCATACAACATCTCCAACTAACCTATATATTTCACAATTCTTAGATATTGAAAGTAAATGTACTCTCTGCAATGATGGAATAAAATCTTTAATAGACTTAATTTACCATTGTACGCATTGTTCTACCTTTTGAGCTCAAATGAGGGAATATATGTTGAGTTAAACTATAATTTCATCATTGAATGTAAACATTTTATTGTGAATTCCAGACTTGACAAATATAACACTGTTAGTTTTATGATACTACATGGTCAATTTCATATTCACAAATGTCAGATGAGAAAATGGGTTCACTGCTTCTCCTCGTGTATTTTGGATTTTGAGGGACTTTGTTTTAAGACGGTTAGTTTTTGTTTGCCTTTTGTTTCAATACATATTTTTTGGGTTAGATTCTGCAATAGGGTCCACCTTTATTTTTTTCTTAATAAACCTGACAGGTAGCACATACAGTCGCTTTCTCCACAGCCAGTTCTCCCTTAAACAAGATGTGAACAAGTTGTTAGCCTTAAAACAAAAACTATCAGTTAAAGAGCGGTGAAAGAGAGACTACAGTCTTCCAACTTATTTGAAACCCAATCAGCTAAGCCAGTTAGCATTGTTAGGAAAAGATCTTATGACAATATATTTATTTTCTTGCTAACACTTGTTCATTTTTTGTCACATAAAATACATATTTTTTATTCTTCCCAATGAATATAATAAATCAGATTGTGGCTGCTTATTTATGTTCTCATTTATTTCAGTTTGAGTTAAAATGTTGATATGTAGAGGTGCAAGAACAGGCCTCTTCAAATCAGTGCGGGGCAGCTCCTGCGGGGCAAGTGATATAATCATTATCATCATCATGGAGAGTCTCTGGTCATTAGCACCTCATTCATAGCAGCTGTCCACTTATTGACAGCTTTCTAATGAATAGCTCTCTGGATGTTTAAGCAGTCTGATGGATTTTAAGATGACGCTCATGACTGTTTTATAGCTTTCACTCTTTTACTTTGTCTCCTCTACAGCTCTAGCTACACAACATCCTCATCCTACTGCTCAATATCTTCACCACACAAGTTATTAAGTGTAGAGTATTTTCTCTCAGAAGGACTGTAAAACCAGAAATATATTATTGGGTCATCTTAAATGGTGAAGGCTCTATAAGGATATTGCAGTAGCAGAAGCATGGAAGCTTTGGCAGTGTTACAGGTAGTAAGATGTGCATGCCTAAATTAACACACACCAAAAACCGACAACTCCTCAGTGTTTCTAACAAATTACGAAGAAGCTAAATTAATAAATCTCCTCTCCCTGTCTTTCCTCTCTCTTTCTAATTGCACCATCGAGCACAGTGCTGGTAGTTTTATATGATTATTTGTTTTGAGGGATGCGTTACAGCTTATCTAATTGGCTTTATGCTCACAGGACAAGTTATATTCTAAACATGTGAGGATGGTAAGAGATATTGGGCCATTGGCAAATTGCCTCAGAGGCTTAGCTGAACAAATTCATACCAACACAGAAGCTAAATGTCTTCAAGCTTTTGACTGATGTAGCCATATTCCCATAATCAAGCATACTGGCTGGATGTCTGCTCGTGTGGAAGTTTGAATCACATTGCTTTATCAAGTCTGCACTGTGAGTGTTAAATAAGCGTGTATCTGTAGCTCTTATATCTATAAAAAATGTCTTTATTTCTAGTACATTGGTAGAAGTTATGGGAAATCAGCTTCTACCCAACTACCAATTCCACATCTTATTAGGAATCCACAGAAATGCTATTTTACCTTCAGAGCACATAAACTCTGACCTTCACTGGGGCTTCTTTGTCAGCACGACCAGTTTTCTTATCCTGTCCTGTCTTCACTGGACTGAATGACAGCTGAATCTAACTATAATGAAACTGGAAAGCTCATAGTAACCCTGAGGATGTTGATCAGTCATCACTGATTCAATTGAAAAAAGCACACTGGAAAAAACAAAGACACCCCCCCCCCCCCCAAACAAACACCCAAAAGTTAATAACAGGTGCGTCCTGTGGAGACATGGTTGTGTGTAATGTAATTCTGCTATGTTTGCATACGGTAGTCTTCTCTGAACATATATAGTATGATGAAGATGATTTTAGGTGAATCTCTGAATTCAATTAACTGTTTTTGAAGATGTTTCTGATGTTTATTAAGATTTATTTTGTACATTAATATTAAGTCTCTCTTACTTTTTCTCCCTTTATATTCCTTGCTCCCTCTCCTTCCTGCAGCACTATGCTGAGATCCCGGGTAGCCTTCCCACCATGCTGGAACTGGGCTCATATTCCGTCAGCTCTCGGTCTCTGACAGAGGACCACAATGCTTTGTGCCTACGTCAAGCCCCAACAGGGCCGGAGTGTAGTCTGGGCATGGGGACGATGTGTGGTAGCAGCACCCCTAGGCACCACATACTTCCTTCGTCCCCAGCGGACTGTGAGGACTGGCAGAAGCATCGTGCAGGACTGGCTGGTGTGTCTGGCCTGTTCCCTGAGTCCCTCCTGGAGCCCCAAAGTCTTTCAACCAGCTATGACACCCTCTACCTCCCACAAATGTCAAGCCACACGCCCCCTCAACACCCCAATCGTCTGGGCCTGTCTCTGGATGTGGCATCCACTTTTGATGTTGGAGGGGGACTTCTGGGAGTGGATGGAGACTTGGCGGTCAGTCCCAACGTGATCAAGAGACGGAGGGGAGGCCTTATTGAGCAGAGGGACATTGTCAAAGCCCACCAGGCTCACAAGATCCAGAGCACACCACAGGCGCGGCGCAAGGAGTGGGAGTGAGTATGATGCTAACATAGGGAACCCTGGCTGTGATTTCTTACCTGCTAAATACCTGAGCTTTATCCTAAACATAGTCTATATCACCAGAGGTTTATTTAGGGGTTTTTTTTCCACAAGTGACCAAATGAGCAGACTTTGACATAGTAATTTTACAAGCAAATTAATTAATATTGATTGTCAATATGTCTTTCAACTACCTTCATCTACCTTCAGATTTTGTGATATAATTTTAACATGTTATGTCATTAGTAGTGTCAGTGATAACAGAAGATTGACCTTGAAACATTTCCAAATATTCTATTTTACTGGTTTGTGTGTATCCACATTGTTCTTTAGAGTGGTTTAAAGATTTTCAAAGAAATAGGTTGACATTTTGAAGAAAATAAACATTTTGGTTAAAAAGAACCAAAGAATACAATGTGGATAAGGTGAATGAGACTTCTCCTTGTATCTATAAATGCAGCAGCCAGTTGGCATACCATAAAGGCTGGATACAAGGGGAAACAGCTAGCCGTTCTTTGCCCAATAGTTTAAAAAAGAAAAACACCTACCAGAATACTGTTGATGTTCTTTCTTTCAAAAATTATGTGAGCAAGAAAACAAGAGAGCTTTAGACGTATTGGTTAATGGCTTCCTTTGCGGTTCCAGCTGTTTCACAGTATTTTTGTTAAGCTTAATTAATTTGCTCTTTGGAGTGACTTTCATACTGTAGCCTGCAATAATTACTCAAATATGTTATCAATAATCTTGCCAACTCTCCATAAGAAAGCAAACAAATAAGAATCACAATCTTAGAAAATGTCCAAACAAATATGAACAAAATGTTTGGTTGATCCTGCTTTTGGAATGGATAACATTGCATTTCAATAAGGTGACTACTATCCAAGCAGCAACCTCTGGTGTTGAATTATGAAGCCATTGCAGTAGTTAAAAATCCTGCAGTTTGTTGAACGTCTGCTTGAGGTTGGCTCTAGGAATCCTGGAACTCACATACACACAACAGGCAAAAAAGTCAGTTTTTACAGCAGAAATGAATATGTTTACAGTCTGGTACGAAAACGAAATAGGTCTGATGAGTTGCTGTCATCTTGGGCACACATTGTATGGGTATGATTTTTTTTTATATGTCTCCATTTGGATTTTATAAACGATACGTGTTATCCATAGTGATTGACAGGTGGGCGTGATGTAACGGTTCGTCAAGAGGCTTAAAATCCGCCTCAGCTCCAGCTCTCAGCTTGTCGTTATGTTGACTGGCAGTGAGGTTTAGACAGCATTTCCAGCATGGCTGCTGCCGATGAGCCTCCGGAGCCCCCTGTCATAACAGATGGCTGACGTCACTCATATGTATGTTTACAGTCTATGCTACTATCGTGTAGTTTAATATTTATTCATTCATTATCTGCATACTTCAAAAAAATAATAATTGTTTGTGCTAATTCACGTTTATGCCACGTGCATGTGTGTGTGTGTGTATGTGTGTATTGGCTTCCTGCCCCATGGTGCTGTTGAATTTCTTGGTGATTATAGCTGTGATGCCCCCCTCTGCTTCCCCATTAAAGCTTTGGCTTCACCTCGAGTGGTGTTGGCCCCCTCTGTGCCCCCCACCATCTATCCTCACCACAGGTACAGGATGCAACATCTCATGCTGGGTTATGTCTTTAGCTAAAGACAAAGGCCTTGAGAATGTGACAGCAGAGAGAAAGTAAGCGGGTAGATGGGATGTGGAGAAGAGATTGATGACAAACAATAAATGCTGCCATGAGGAGAGAGTAGATAAAATGTGGATTCGAAATGTTTTGCAGAATGAGAAGTCTCTCTGCTGTAATTTGCTCTTGATATTTAAGGCCATGTGATAGTAGTATGGATGTGGTCGATTACTGGATCACCAGGCCTGTTGAGGTGCTTGGCCATGGACTAGATAACTATTCTCAGCCCTGCCTAACATAATTATTACAATACTACATGACAGATCTCTGCCTCTGTTGCTGATAGGACAATGACCAGAGTGAGTCAGGATGCATTACAACATTGCACATCCACCTCTCACTTAGAGGCAAACCCCCAAACACCTGACAAGAGGATGGGAAATGAGATGTTGCACCTGAGCGAAAGTGTGCACCTGCTGTTTTTTCTTAATGGGAATTAGTAGGATTTCAGGCTGAGCTGGAACACTGTCGTGGAAAAGAATAACCGTTTTTGCCTGGAAACGCTTTGGGCTATAGGGAATGGTATTGTCATTTAGTCCAGCATTATGTTTGTCCCTTAGTTCAATTTACTCTAGCAAGATGGCTTCACAACTACTGGTCTCATTCATGGTCCCTACCTGCAGCGTTTGCATGCTAATCACTTACATATCACATCACCATCACATTCCAATTTGCAGGCACACTTCTAACAAGGATCCTAAAATCTTGGATTCACTGGCTTTCCTAAAATTTCACATTACCTTGAATATGATTGTTTAATGTCTCAGTTGTTCCCAGATAATCTCTCACTTGCTGTCGATATTGTGATTTGCAAGGAGGATAAACGCTCTTTTGAATGCCATTGTGGCAGTTTCAGAGACCAGGGTCAGGGTGTAGGGGATAATCACTCATTTTCCCATGAAACTAACAAAAAGTTTTGCCCTTGATTTCCCCACTATATCGAGAGGATTATTCCACAAAACAGAAATATAAATAAGAATTCTAATGATAAAAAAATGTTGGTATATTGGACAATGTTTTCATTTGATTACATTTTGTTTCTTAAAGCTAACACTCTCTTACATCCCCTCTTTAGTTTATAGTTAAACCTCAAACCCTTATTTCAGTAGTTATTTGCGATCATCTACCACAGTGGTATCTGCCTTCTGTGACGTCATGTGCATATCCTTCTTTTGTGTAGTTTAATAGGAAATTCAACCTCTTAGAGTTCCTTTATGTTGGGAAAAGTCTGAAAGACTTTCGTAACGAACAGAACTCTATTTAAAAGAAATGCTGGAAAAGCCAACCATGCTTTGTAACTAAAGCAAAAAAAGCCGCCAAGCGCTTTAGCAGTTTGTGTGTGTATTTGTCAATGAATGGAAAACAGTGTACATTTGTAGCGTTTAACACGTGTTGCTCTGGATAAGAAGACATCCTTCAAGAGATTGAAGAAATAACAGTGTTTAGAGTTGGTGTTAACATGGCACTAATGACAGTAATCAGTCTGAATCGATCAGGCATTTCCATCGCATCAGCAGTCAACCGTGGTCACAAATAGATTGGAGCGCTACAAATGTTTTGGTCTCTGTTTGGCCTATTCTGTGTGGGGTTTTGTGCACCCGTTTTTCTGTTTCTATTCATGACATTAAAGATGTCTTAAAAAAAGAGAGAAGACATTGCAAAAATGACGGATAGGCTTAAGCTGATGCATCAACTTAAAGACCCTGATTTTTGCACATTTTTCACTAGATTTTGACCCGATATGAGAAAATGGGATCTTGGAAAAAAACAGAAAATGGGATCTTGGAAAAAAAACAGCAGCATAGTATAGCTACAGTTTAGGATAAATGTTGGAAGATTTATTCCCAACTTGGTTACAGTTCTTGGTGCCCTATGCTCATTCTTGTTTCATAGTGGCCTGATGGTTGAAGCTCTTCCTGAGCCTCTCATTTCAGAACTGCTGTATCCAGTAGCTTCTTCTCAGCTTCAGCAGGACAGAGGGCCATTATCAAGGCGATTATCCATAATAATCACACAGAGGAGGTTTTTTCCAGTGTGCATGTTTTGTGAGGTTGTGCAGGACTAAAATCATCTGTTGAAGTCAAGACAGAAACAGTCAAAAAAAAAGCTGCTGGCTGTGTGAGAGTATGGGTAAATTAAAATATTGCAAGTCAGCATACGCTTAATTCACGAGTCATTAACTCAATTTTCAAATTGGGAGAGAGCAGACTCTTGGAAAAAAAGGCTTTCTAGCATAAACATAAGGCCTGTTTTCTCTTGATAGCACTTTGAAAGAGACTTTACTTACAGTACAGTGGGAGTGGCTGTGGCTCAGTTGGTAGAGTCGTCGCCTCTCAATTGAAAGGTTGAGGGTTCAACCCCGCATTGCTCCCGCTGCTTCCGTGGCGGTGTATGAATGGTATTCATGGAACAACAGGTCATCATTTGGCAACAAGATTGAACAAGAACAAGATTGTGTGTGTATCGGTGTATGTGTGAGTGTGTTTAAAGGGAGAGGGCCTAATGTCAACTCTTGAATTAGTCCCTTAATTTGATCCGATTTACATTATCTGAGATACGATGTCAAACCTGCATTTGTACGCTTGTCATCTTCAGCCCTGAATAACTCATCTGTCTGAGGGCTCTTACACACTGCTCAACTCTGCTGCCGCACATTTACTGCAAGGGGAAGAGGGATTCATGAGACTAAAGTGGCTGAGTGCAGACAGGATACAAAAACAGTCCTTCACAATCTCTGGTCAAGCCAGTAGAACAGTAATGACTTCAGGGTCTGCTATAAAAGAGATATCGTCAAGGAGACACTTTTTTCTCTCTCTTCACAAACGCAAAAAACATACTTCACTGTTTATTTAAAATAACTGGAAAAAGTCAAAGGTCATTGAATTCTTAACATATTTTAGAATGGAAAATGATTGACAATGTTAAAAAGAAATGCATTGTGTGGTTTGTTTAAAATTGCCAACTTGTCATTGGACCAAGCTCTTGTAGTGTAATGAAACCAGCTAAAGATCCAATCCGAAAAATTATCAACTCTTTCTGTTTTCTTCAAAATAATTATTATCAATGGAGCGCTGATAGTATAGCAGTTGGGTTAGGCCCCATGTACGTAGGATAAAGTCCTCCAAGCGGGTGACCCGGGTTCAAGTCTGAGCTGGTACTCCTTTCCTGCATGTCATTCCCCACTATCTCTCTCTCTCCCAATATCCTACTCTACCCACTGTCCTATTGAAATAAAGACAAAAAGCCAATAAATACACGTTTAAAATGATTGTGGAAAAATAACCATT